CTGTGGCATTGGAGAAAATGCAAGATAGGTGCATTCAGAGGTACCCTGGTCTGTATGGTTCTGATGACAGAATTCAAGCTTGTATGGCAGAATTAGGAGTTCCTCTCACCAAGGAGAAAGGCTTCCATCAGGTTAGAACTCTGTTATTCTCAGAATTTTAATGTTCATTGTTGTTTGGATTGTGGCATTGCTCTTGTTTGGCTTTTGACAGATTTATTACTCTTTGGTTCCTAGGAAAATCTAGGAAAATAAGGTTAACATAGGCAGAAAAAGAAAGTAATTAAGTGTGTCCGTGACTTCAGATATTGACTCTGTCCACTTATATGATTGTAATGGAGAAAATTTGAACATTTAGAAAGTGCTGGAGAAAGTGGGTTAGTGAGAGTAGGAAGTGGAGGACTTTTAGGTTCGTTGTAATAAATTTTTTGAGCTTAATTTTGACAAAATGGTAGTGAAAGGTTTGTCATTATTTATATAACTTCATAATTATGTATATAGACATTAAATAACAAAGTTTATCCGAAAACTTATCAGACATTGTATAAATTTCTATTTCTTTCAGTAGTGTTTAATTTCTATTGTATAACAAAAGAAATATGTAATGGCCCGTAGCCGCAAGATGCAAAAGTAGAAAAAGACAGCCACCGTTAGATGCCAAAATGAAGGTGATTTATTTTTTGGATGCATAAGGTGTACACATTTATTGCTATTTACTATTTTAGTTGAGATTTGAAGTGGACATTGTGAGAAAAAATTGGAGAGATTTGATCAAATTGTGAATTTATGTGGGAGCATTAAGGTTAAGATGAATTAAATTAATTTTAAACTAGGTCATATTGGAAATTATATGACCAATCATAAATATCAATTGACTTCCTTTTTCAAACCTAAACCATTGAACCACCTTATCCATGAGCATGTTGATTTTAATTTTAAGTCTTTTTCTCTTTTGTATTTATTGAATAGTATAAAATAAATGTGATTATCGACGTGTCACACAATACACATTTTGCTGTGACCTTCTTAAGGTGCAGTTGAATCCACTTACGTTTTATTTAAAAGTTTAACATCACACGCTATAAGACACGTAGCATGAAAACATGGGCCACAATGTCCTCCATTCATAAACTATTGTCTTTTGTCGGTAGATAAGACCCTTCCTAATTCCCACTTACCCTACATAATTGTGTTGTTCGATCAATTCTTATTAATATTAATACTAACTAATTATACACGTGTACAAAGCCCACACGTGACTTGTGGGTATGTAAGCGGGCTTTCAAGAAATATTTTTGGGTTGAGTTGAGTGGAGTAAATATGTAATTTTGTGACGTATGATTCTTCTTCTGATTTGACGTTGAATAGTTCGATGTGTACGGCAATCTCTTTGGGCTTCTGGCGGCCCATCCACTTACACCGCTGGTGTCCCTACATCACTTGGACGTAGTAGAGCCCATATTTCCAAACGTGAGCCGGGTGCGGGCTCTGAAGCGGCTGAACGGGCCCATGAAGCTGGACCCAGCCGGGCTCATGCAGCAATCTATTTGCTACGACAAGGGCCGGACCTGGACCGTATCCGTTTCGTGGGGATACGCGGTTCAAATATTCCGGGGCATTTTCTCGGCCAGGGAAATGGAGATGCCGGCGAGGACGTTCCTCAACTGGTACAGACGGGCCGATTACACGGCGTACCCGTTCAACACCCGCCCTGTCAGCCGCCATGTTTGTCAGAAACCTTTTGTCTATTTCTTGTCAGAGGCAGTGTATGACAGTGCTGCCAATGAAACTTCAACTCATTACATTCGGGTTCAGGAAAACCCCGATTGCAAGTGGAAAATGGAGGATCCGACCCGGATCAAATCGGTTGAAGTTCGTAAGAAAATCGACCCGCATTTGTGGGATAAGGTAACTTAATTGAAATGTGTTAATCTTTTTCTAGCATTATTATGAACGATTTATTTGCTATCGAAGTGAATGGAATGAAAATTTGGCTAAGTAAGGGTTTCGTTGGTTTGAGCAGGCTCCAAGAAGAAATTGTTGTAGGGTTCGACGCACGAAGAAGAAAGAAACTATGGTGATTGATGTTGGGGAATGCAGGGGAGATGAAGTTGTTGAATTGTAGTTATAGATCCTTTACATCAATTCGTCATTCTTAACTCAATCCCTTGGTATATGTATTTTTTTCTTCTTCTACTTTATATATAATCATTTACTTTCGGCGTTTTTTCGCTTACTGTAAACAAAAATGAGTAGCTAGAAGTCTAAATCAAACTAGTATTTTCCTTAAACGTTAATTGTTTTGCACCACAAGTTTAGGATCTAGATGCTTGTCCCAAGGTCAAAATGTCACACAATTCAACACTCTTTTTTTTCTCCTTCAGTTTATTCATTTCTATATAATAAAATTAGAATATACAATATTTGGCCCTTAATTAACATTCTCTGCATTCTCTCCCTTTTTAGAATTGCATTTCATACACCATTTGTGTTTGTTTTATCTCAATATGCAGATTGCCAAGGTGTTTTATTTCTCTGTATTAAGTGTTTTTTCTTTTTCTTTTTAATGGGGAGAGCTTCTAAGTAAAATGTTTATATAATTCAGTCAGAAATCAAATTCTGACCCATATACACTATCAGTTGCTTTTACTGTTAGTCGGTCTAACAGTTAAATAAGATACAGAAAAAACTAGGTAAGTAGGTAAATGTATTTAATGACATGAACTTCAAGATCAACTAAATTAATTTGTTTTTCCATTTGGTTTCGTGAAACCAACTTATCAGCTTCAAATGAAAAATTACTTTCAATAGTAATGAAAGCTAATTCTAATAATCAGGCAACTGAACTCATTGCTAAAGGACTTGGATCGAGTGTTGCACAAGTGAGGAGTTCAGGGTTTGCTTTCAAATGATTCATATCGTCCTCTTCCAAGGTAACCCAAGCTTCTATGCCATCTCCCAACCTTGTGTCCACTAGGATGATAAGATTCATAAACATTGAAACTGAGTCAATTGAACCACCACCACTCACCCATGTGGGTTTTCCCCACCCAAAATCAGCCTCGTAGTACCTAAAATTGCACCAACTACTAAACCCAAAATAATCCACTTCACTCTTTGATCCCATCTCACCTATTGCCCTAAGACTTTCCTGCATAGTTGACCTTCCCTTATCACCTCTCAATTCTTCAACAAATTCCTTTTCTACTCTTGATATTGCAGTCCTCAACTTCCCCACCAACTCCTCCAACCCCATCTCATTATCATCCACACTCTCTGCAGCCATCAACCAAAGAAGATTTCCCATAGCATGTTCAGGACAAAGAGCCTCGTCCATTTTTCTCCTCAGGTTCACCAGATGAGTAACAAAAGAAGGCCTTTGGGTGCCAAACCGTGCCTTGGACACCCCCATGAGGGACTTCCACAGCATAGCAGAAACCATCTGCAGACGTGTGGAATTTTCTGTGCCTGGTGTTTGAGCCTTGACTGTGGCAATAGCTGAGTTTCTAAACAGAAACCTCCTTGTGACCCACTTGCCCTGTTTGAACAAGGAACCCCACATCCACATAGATAAGTCTCTAAACCATGGACTGTAAGTGGGGAAGAGAGAAGGTACTATGAAGTTTGGTTGGGTTGATTGGTTACAGCCCTTGGCCCTTTCTGTCCACCCTTTGATAAAGGTGCTTAGTGCAGCTCCATCTAGGATCCTATGAGAAATGCACATGCCAATGGCAATTCCCCCACATTCAAAGATGTTCACTTGAATGTTAGTCACATAGGTTCCTGAATTTGATCCTTCAGACAGAAGATCAACAGGAAGAAACTTGTGTAGTTCGGTTACCTGAGGTTGGACTAGAAATTCATCTAGAGGACATTTCACTCGGGCCAGCACAAAATTAGCACCTTCATCATTGCACTCAATGGACCGATCCTCTTTGATTTTGCCACCTAGAGGGTAGAAGTTGGTTAGTGTCTCTGATAGAGATGTTTTCAGCAATTGTAACCTCTTGGGGACTTCAGAAAGGTAAGTTGTGTTACTCTTAGGTGAGTTGTAGAACAGGATTATTGGAGCATATGGCGATGGGATAAGGTGATCCAAAAGGGAAAGGCTGAAGACTCTAAGGTGAGAGGGTGTGGGAGAAGAAGGTCTAATATCTTCTCTAGAAATTATTTCTACTTCAACTCTCATCCTCTTTCTTCTTTTCGTTCAATAGCTTGTGCTTAAATGGTTACACTTGCTCCTGTAATATTAATACATATATACGCGTGGAGGGGCTGAAAATCTTCCACTTTCTTAGTTGTGAAAGTTGATTTTGCTAGCACAGGTATGAATTTTCTCAAATAAGACAACCACATAATTTGACATGTCCATATTCTACATATTTGTCAGAATCATAAATGTTGGACTGCCGAATATTTCAAGAGTGATGCTTTCAAAAGGGATAGTCAAGAGTGGCGTATAATGTTGAACTGTGCTTCTTACATGCTTAAGTCGTCTAATTCCAAACAACAATAATTCAGAAAGTAATTTGTTTTTACACAGGTTAATGTCATATAACAAGAAATATGATCTTTTGTGGGGTGAAATCACTACTTCGAAATATTCCATATTTGAACCTATGTGTTAATTCATTAAATATTTAGAATTAGTTTGATTGATAGTTATGTCAGAATTGAAATTGATTAAAAATGTAAAATTTTAATGTTTAGATTGCATGAAAATTATAAAATTCAGATTTTGTGTGGACTCAGAATTCTATTCTAACATACTGGGAGCAATTGTCTTCTCTGTCATTACTTACGATGCTAGACAAAAGAAAAAGGCATTAACTTTTTGTTTTCATATTTGTTTACATTTTTATTATATTATACATCTGTATGTTTACAGTTTTTTACAATGTTATCGTATTTTTCACAACATTCTTTTGTACCACTATTTTTATCATGTTATAATATTTTATTGTGTTAAATTTTAGATTTTTTTAATATTCTAAATNGGGGCCTCGGCCAAGCTCTGGAAGCAGCGAAAAGAGTACATCAAGATGTGGTGGAGGCCCAATGAGATGCGTGGAGTTGTGTGGTTGGAGCAGAGGGTGAAGACTGAACCCGGTGATGAAAATTCCTTACCCTTGTTGAGGATCTCCGGTGACACTTCAAGGTTCAAGTATAAGAATCCAAAGGGGCATAGATCGGCGATTAGAATCTCACGCATAGTGTCTGAGACTCTGAGGCTTGGGATGACAGATGTGAGGTGGTTCGTGATGGGGGACGATGACACCGTTTTTGTGGCAGAAAATTTGGTGAAGGTTTTGCAGAAGTATGACCATAACCAGTTCTATTACATTGGGAGTTCTTCAGAGAGTCATTTGCAGAATATATACTTTTCTTACAATATGGCTTATGGGGGTGGTGGTTTTGCCATCAGTTATCCTTTGGCTGTGGCATTGGAGAAAATGCAAGATAGGTGCATTCAGAGGTACCCTGGTCTGTATGGTTCTGATGACAGAATTCAAGCTTGTATGGCAGAATTAGGAGTTCCTCTCACCAAGGAGAAAGGCTTCCATCAGGTTAGAACTCTGTTATTCTCAGAATTTTAATGTTCATTGTTGTTTGGATTGTGGCATTGCTCTTGTTTGGCTTTTGACAGATTTATTACTCTTTGGTTCCTAGGAAAATCTAGGAAAATAAGGTTAACATAGGCAGAAAAAGAAAGTAATTAAGTGTGTCCGTGACTTCAGATATTGACTCTGTCCACTTATATGATTGTAATGGAGAAAATTTGAACATTTAGAAAGTGCTGGAGAAAGTGGGTTAGTGAGAGTAGGAAGTGGAGGACCTTTAGGTTCGTTGTAATAAATTTTTTGAGCTTAATTTTGACAAAATGGTAGTGAAAGGTTTGTCATTATTTATATAACTTCATAATTATGTATATAGACATTAAATAACAAAGTTTATCCGAAAACTTATCAGACATTGTATAAATTTCTATTTCTTTCAGTAGTGTTTAATTTCTATTGTATAACAAAAGAAATATGTAATGGCCCGTAGCCGCAAGATGCAAAAGTAGAAAAAGACAGCCACCGTTAGATGCCAAAATGAAGGTGATTTATTTTTTGGATGCATAAGGTGGACACATTTATTGCTATTTACTATTTTAGTTGAGATTTGAAGTGGACAATGTGAGAAAAAATTGGAGAGATTTGATCAAATTGTGAATTTATGTGGGAGCATTAAGGTTAAGATGAATTAAATTAATTTTAAACTAGGTCATATTGGAAATTATATGACCAATCATAAATATCAATTGACTTCCTTTTTCAAACCTAAACCATTGAACCACCTTATCCATGAGCATGTTGATTTTAATTTTAAGTCTTTTTCTCTTTTGTATTTATTGAATAGTATAAAATAAATGTGATTATCGACGTGTCACACAATACACATTTTGCTGTGACCTTCTTAAGGTGCAGTTGAATCCACTTACGTTTTATTTAAAAGTTTAACATCACACGCTATAAGACACGTAGCATGAAAACATGGGCCACAATGTCCTCCATTCATAAACTATTGTCTTTTGTCGGTAGATAAGACCCTTCCTAATTCCCACTTACCCTACATAATTGTGTTGTTCGATCAATTCTTATTAATATTAATACTAACTAATTATACACGTGTACAAAGCCCACACGTGACTTGTGGGTATGTAAGCGGGCTTTCAAGAAATATTTTTGGGTTGAGTTGAGTGGAGTAAATATGTAATTTTGTGACGTATGATTCTTCTTCTGATTTGACGTTGAATAGTTCGATGTGTACGGCAATCTCTTTGGGCTTCTGGCGGCCCATCCACTTACACCGCTGGTGTCCCTACATCACTTGGACGTAGTAGAGCCCATATTTCCAAACGTGAGCCGGGTGCGGGCTCTGAAGCGGCTGAACGGGCCCATGAAGCTGGACCCAGCCGGGCTCATGCAGCAATCTATTTGCTACGACAAGGGCCGGACCTGGACCGTATCCGTTTCGTGGGGATACGCGGTTCAAATATTCCGGGGCATTTTCTCGGCCAGGGAAATGGAGATGCCGGCGAGGACGTTCCTCAACTGGTACAGACGGGCCGATTACACGGCGTACCCGTTCAACACCCGCCCTGTCAGCCGCCATGTTTGTCAGAAACCTTTTGTCTATTTCTTGTCAGAGGCAGTGTATGACAGTGCTGCCAATGAAACTTCAACTCATTACATTCGGGTTCAGGAAAACCCCGATTGCAAGTGGAAAATGGAGGATCCGACCCGGATCAAATCGGTTGAAGTTCGTAAGAAAATCGACCCGCATTTGTGGGATAAGGTAACTTAATTGAAATGTGTTAATCTTTTTCTAGCATTATTATGAACGATTTATTTGCTATCGAAGTGAATGGAATGAAAATTTGGCTAAGTAAGGGTTTCGTTGGTTTGAGCAGGCTCCAAGAAGAAATTGTTGTAGGGTTCGACGCACGAAGAAGAAAGAAACTATGGTGATTGATGTTGGGGAATGCAGGGGAGATGAAGTTGTTGAATTGTAGTTATAGATCCTTTACATCAATTCGTCATTCTTAACTCAATCCCTTGGTATATGTATTTTTTTCTTCTTCTACTTTATATATAATCATTTACTTTCGGCGTTTTTTCGCTTACTGTAAACAAAAATGAGTAGCTAGAAGTCTAAATCAAACTAGTATTTTCCTTAAACGTTAATTGTTTTGCACCACAAGTTTAGGATCTAGATGCTTGTCCCAAGGTCAAAATGTCACACAATTCAACACTCTTTTTTTTCTCCTTCAGTTTATTCATTTCTATATAATAAAATTAGAATATACAATATTTGGCCCTTAATTAACATTCTCTGCATTCTCTCCCTTTTTAGAATTGCATTTCATACACCATTTGTGTTTGTTTTATCTCAATATGCAGATCGCCAAGGTGTTTTATTTCTCTGTATTAAGTGTTTTTTCTTTTTCTTTTTAATGGGGAGAGCTTCTAAGTAAAATGTTTATATAATTCAGTCAGAAATCAAATTCTGACCCATATACACTATCAGTTGCTTTTACTGTTAGTCGGTCTAACAGTTAAATAAGATACAGAAAAAACTAGGTAAGTAGGTAAATGAATTTAATGACATGAACTTCAAGATCAACTAAATTAATTTGTTTTTCCATTTGGTTTCGTGAAACCAACTTATCAGCTTCAAATGAAAAATTACTTTCAATAGTAATGAAAGCTAATTCTAATAATCAGGCAACTGAACTCATTGCTAAAGGACTTGGATCGAGTGTTGCACAAGTGAGGAGTTCAGGGTTTGCTTTCAAATGACTCATATCGTCCTCTTCCAAGGTAACCCAAGCTTCTATGCCATCTCCCAACCTTGTGTCCACTAGGATGATAAGATTCATAAACATTGAAACTGAGTCAATTGAACCACCACCACTCACCCATGTGGGTTTTCCCCACCCAAAATCAGCCTCGTAGTACCTAAAATTGCACCAACTACTAAACCCAAAATAATCCACTTCACTCTTTGATCCCATCTCACCTATTGCCCTAAGACTTTCCTGCATAGTTGACCTTCCCTTATCACCTCTCAATTCTTCAACAAATTCCTTATCTACTCTTGATATTGCAGTCCTCAACTTCCCCACCAACTCCTCCAACCCCATCTCATTATCATCCACACTCTCTGCAGCCATCAACCAAAGAAGATTTCCCATAGCATGTTCAGGACAAAGAGCCTCGTCCATTTTTCTCCTCAGGTTCACCAGATGAGTAACAAAAGAAGGCCTTTGGGTGCCAAACCGTGCCTTGGACACCCCCATGAGGGACTTCCACAGCATAGCAGAAACCATCTGCAGACGTGTGGAATTTTCTGTGCCTGGTGTTTGAGCCTTGACTGTGGCAATAGCTGAGTTTCTAAACAGAAACCTCCTTGTGACCCACTTGCCCTGTTTGAACAAGGAACCCCACATCCACATAGATAAGTCTCTAAACCATGGACTGTAAGTGGGGAAGAGAGAAGGTACTATGAAGTTTGGTTGGGTTGATTGGTTACAGCCCTTGGCCCTTTCTGTCCACCCTTTGATAAAGGTGCTTAGTGCAGCTCCATCTAGGATCCTATGAGAAATGCACATGCCAATGGCAATTCCCCCACATTCAAAGATGTTCACTTGAATGTTAGTCACATAGGTTCCTGAATTTGATCCTTCAGACAGAAGATCAACAGGAAGAAACTTGTGTAGTTCGGTTACCTGAGGTTGGACTAGAAATTCATCTAGAGGACATTTCACTCGGGCCAGCACAAAATTAGCACCTTCATCATTGCACTCAATGGACCGATCCTCTTTGATTTTGCCACCTAGAGGGTAGAAGTTGGTTAGTGTCTCTGATAGAGATGTTTTCAGCAATTGTAACCTCTTGGGGACTTCAGAAAGGTAAGTTGTGTTACTCTTAGGTGAGTTGTAGAACAGGATTATTGGAGCATATGGCGATGGGATAAGGTGATCCAAAAGGGAAAGGCTGAAGACTCTAAGGTGAGAGGGTGTGGGAGAAGAAGGTCTAATATCTTCTCTAGAAATTATTTCTACTTCAACTCTCATCCTCTTTCTTCTTTTCGTTCAATAGCTTGTGCTTAAATGGTTACACTTGCTCCTGTAATATTAATACATATATACGCGTGGAGGGGCTGAAAATCTTCCACTTTCTTAGTTGTGAAAGTTGATTTTGCTAGCACAGGTATGAATTTTCTCAAATAAGACAACCACATAATTTGACATGTCCATATTCTACATATTTGTCAGAATCATAAACGTTGGACTGCCGAATATTTCAAGAGTGATGCTTTCAAAAGGGATAGTCAAGAGTGGCGCATAATGTTGAACTGTGCTTCTTACATGCTTAAGTCGTCTAATTCCAAACAACAATAATTCAGAAAGTAATTTGTTTTTACACAGGTTAATGTCATATAACAAGAAATATGATCTTTTGTGGGGTGAAATCACTACTTCGAAATATTCCATATTTGAACCTATGTGTTAATTCATTAAATATTTAGAATTAGTTTGATTGATAGTTATGTCAGAATTGAAATTGATTAAAAATGTAAAATTTTAATGTTTAGATTGCATGAAAATTATAAAATTCAGATTTTGTGTGGACTCAGAATTCTATTCTAACATACTGGGAGCAATTGTCTTCTCTGTCATTACTTACGATGCTAGACAAAAGAAAAAGGCATTAACTTTTTGTTTTCATATTTGTTTACATTTTTATTATATTATACATCTGTATGTTTACAGTTTTTTACAATGTTATCGTATTTTTCACAACATTCTTTTGTACCACTATTTTTATCATGTTATAATATTTTATTGTGTTAAATTTTAGATTTTTTTAATATTCTAAATGTATTATCATATTTCTATTGCTTTTCAACTATGTTTCAATTAAAAAAAACAGAAGTATAATATGCATTGCAAGTACATAAATTTTTTAATTATAAAATTTATCATCCACTTATATTTTAAAGTATTAAATATATTTTTAATCCTAAACTTTAACTCAAGATTAGAATTTGTCTATAAACTTTAATTTGTTTTTAAACATTAATAAATACATATAAATCCAGAAGCAACGGAGTTTGACTTCTACGTTTATGCGGAGAAGGACAAGTATTGTTTTTGTGTGCGTAGGGTTAAAGAGAGGTCCATCACTATTTCAAAGCCCAACAACAAGGATATCATGTATTATTTACACCTCCAAGTTTCAGATTTGCCTTTAATGTGGTTTCGTGAAAATTAAATGAAGTTTAATAAAATGGTTGACCAATTTATTTAATAACCTAACCATATTTTATACTTACTTGTCCCCGCACTTCTTGGTCTCTTTTATTTTGTGTTTTCTCGTATGTGATTCTTGGTTTTCCATTGTCGTTCCATTAAAAAGTTTTGAGATTTCTAGTGTGATTCTTGGTTTTCCATTGTCGTTGCATTAAAAAGTTTTGAGAGACATTTTAGAGAGATTTTTCATTGGAGAAATATGGTGGAGGTGTTGCGTGGTGCTGATGTTTTCGTGATGTTTTCGTGGTTGGCATTGGAGTGCTTTTGTTTGAAATTTTTTGCGTCAAACAGGTGTATGAGTCTATTTGAAAGCTCAAAGTCTTAATTAAATTTGACAATCCGACGCGTATCCTCTCTAATATCGAAATTTTATCTAATATTAAAATTCGAAAATATGTGCATCGATTATCGAAATCCTATGAAGGTCGAATTGGTTTTCGAAATCTGATTCATGCCTGCTACCAATTCCAGATCTGATTCACTATTTTCACAACTTGTATATACAAATCCCTTTCCTTTGTCTCGTCCCAATCTCTACATACAAATCCTATTACAATGGTTGGAAGTCCCACATAAAGTAGAAATAAGGCTAATTTATAATATATAAGTGGGTGCAAACATCACCTTAGAAGCCGATTTTGTAGGATTGAGTTAGGCTTAAAGTTTACTTCTTAACATGGTATCAAAGTCTGGTTATAACCTATCTTAGCGATATTTGTTTGTTTGAGATATATATATCGGGCCGCTATATTAGGCTGAACAGATGTAGCAGTACCCAACAACCAGAATTTGATCTCCAACAACAAAAAGTTGATCTCGAACAAGCACAACGTGATCTATGGATATGTGGAGAAAGATGGAGAAAACGAAGATGGAAGAAAGCTTGCACGAAGAAGAGAGAGCTTGAGATCCAAGAGAAAACCAATGGAAAACGAGAATTTGGTCAAAAAGTTATTCTACTTTTATTAAAAATTAATCTCATCTTATGGAACATCATTACATTTTTTCAAAAAGTTTTGGAGATGTAGATGAAATCTTTAAGAGTATAGGGTAAAACTCCCATCATTATTTATTAAGAGCATGTTATATGACAAAAATATATCTCATGTCAAGAATATGTCTCCCAAATAGAAAACAAGTTGAGAGGGATGACCACAAACTTCTGGAAGGTTTGTTCTCAAAGTTAAGATTTTTACCTTAGATCTGTATATCTATTAGGCTTATCTCCATATTCAAAACTTATTTGACTTATTATATAATATTTAAAATAAACCTAATTTATTAAGAATTCATTAATTACATATGATAAATAGAACTTTATCTATTATCCACTCATATTCTTCTTAAATATACTTAAACAGGGAGTATGTCATCATAGACCCATCTGGTCTAAGCTTCAATTTAAAATCTCACCTGACATCAATAAGATGCTTATCTCGTGGCAAATCAACCAGTTCCACGTTCCATTCTTTTCAACCACCATGACATCCTTCCACTCCCTGACTTTCAAAGTCTGTCTCCATGTGATAGGTTCTGTGTCAGTCATAAATGCAAGATGCACCAACTCACCATCTGTTAATACCATGTTGTTACCATATAGTGAACGGAAATCTAGCTCTCTTGATTTTCTTTCATTTGAAACAACTCCAAAATGCATGGAATTGCACTTTCTAATTTTTCCTTCCACTCCTATGAGTCTCATTCATCTACTGTCACATCTCTGCACAATACTGTCTAAACTCTCTTCAGTTGTACTCTCTGAATGGAATTACATATTTATCGAAAATGTTTGTGAACTTTCATTATGCAATCATATATATTACATATTAATTCAAAATAACGTGGAAACACTATATTATAATTAGGTCTTGGTAATGTGATATGAAATATGATAGTCAGTAAATAATTAGATAAATAATATCTTTTCAATATTTAATAACGCATATTCCAAGGTAGTTTTTTATACGAAATTAGAAATATTAATATAAATTTTACATACGACCACAGTCCTTCATCATATATTACTTTAATTACGCTACCTGCTATAACAACAGTTTATGTCATATAACTGTTGTTTGGACGATGGTTTGAGAAGAACTGTGAACCGTTATCAAATCTTTGAAAGCCAAGATAGAAGAAGGTTCTTTTTACATGAATAGTGTTGATTATTTACGTAAAAGTTCATGAAAAATTATTATTTAAAAAATAATATTTTAACATATGCATTTTTTATATTCATTTAATATTTATTATTTTATAATCGTTTTATTTTTACACTGTAGTAAAGGATTTTGATATGTTAATTTTTATAATAATTTTTTTGACATTATATCACATGTTATTATTTTATTAGCTCGTTTAATTTTATTTTCAAAAAAATATTTGAATCAAACAAATTACAAACTATCATGTAAACGTTGTAAATTTTTTTTTAAAATAATATTTTCTTATATAAAAATATTATAAGAACTTTTTTATATGTTAACCACTTTTTCATAATAATTTTTTGAAATATGATATGTTAACAATAATTTTTTTAATATTTTTTAATAATAGAACATGTATTATTATTTTATTGGTCGCTATATTTAAAACGCATGAATGAGCCAGCACATAGATAGTTGTAAAAAAGTTATTTGTCGCTGAAAAAACATTTTCCATTATTTTATTAGTAGTTTGAATTTATTCTTAAAATATTTCAAAGAGAAACCACCCGTTTTTATTTTTTTTCAGAATTAAAATATACAGAACTTCACTTTTTGTTCTTGACTTATTTGTGAAGAAATCTGCATGACTAAGGTAAGAAAATGGAAGAAGGAAGAAAGGAGTATTAGGTAGATACTGGAAAGAGAGATTTGAGATGATCGATGAGAGCAGTGAGATTGTTGTGTGAGGATCCACCTTCTTGAACAGCTCTCCAAGCTTTTTCCTGCATTTCCTTCGCCTTCATCCTTATCTTCTCACCTTCGTTTCCTTTATCCATCAACCTCTTCACAGCCTTCTCTATTCTCTCCCCACTCAACACCGTCTTCTTCCCGTCGTACGGCGACATGCTCCACTCCGCCGCACCCACCTCCACCCCAAACCCGTGCACCTCCGTTATAAGCTTCTCATTGTAGTACTGATCACTGAACCCCGGCATAGTCACCATCGGAACCCCAGCACTGATGGCCTCCACCACCGCGTTCCACCCACAGTGCGTCAAAAACCCTCCCACTGCAGGGTGGTTCAATATCAAAGGCTGCGGTGCCCATCCCTTGATCAACATCCCTCTCTTCTCTTTCTCCATCTTCTCCTCAAACCCCTCTGGCAACCACTTTTCTTCCTCTTCTTCTTCTTGTCCCTCTTTTTTTTTCCGGTGAACCACCCAGATGAAAGAGTGCCCGGAGGCATCCAGGCCGTTGGCCAATTCATAAAGCTGTTTGTCCGAAAGAAGAACGAGGCTTCCAAAACAAATGTAGAGAACCGAGTCCTTTTCCTTTGAGTCAAGCCACGTAAGACACTCCTGTCTGATCTCGCTGACAACGGCGGGTTTCTTAACGATTTGTTCCACCATGAGGGAGCTGGGGCCAACATGCCAAACTTTTCTTCCTGTGAGGTTTTCGTAATTCTGAGTGTACTCAGCGTCGAGTTCAGCGAAACTGTTCACGATAACTCCATGACTGTCCTCTTCACCTTCAAGAAGAGATTCCGTCAGCACTGCGAAACCCGGCGAGGGTTTGACCGGGAGAGTGAGAGGGTGAGGGAGACCCGGAATCTGGTAGGGCCCGGAATCGGAGAGAAA